CTTTGGACTAATATCATGCATAGTTTGTACTCTATATAAGGAGGTACAAAGGTGCTGCTTAAAAATATGTTTGTGGACTAAAGCTTGCAACAATTGGAAAAAAAAAAGATAAAACGTTTCAGTTCATCCATCAGTGTTCTCAAATTTGCTTCTCGTTTCCATATGCTCAATGAGAGCAGAAGTGGGGAAGGAGCTGCAGGGGAAAAAAGTTGGGGCGGCTGAGGGCAAAGGGGCCACTTGGTCCTCCCCTCCCCCAGATTTTTTTTTCCTTGCTGTAGTGGGACAAAATCAAGGCAGACCTCTACTAATTGGATCTTATACCTGGAAAATTGTAACAAATGTATATATTTTCCATACATAGTATCTAATTATTGGGGGGTAATCCTATCTTCTGGGTTGCTTATATCCAAGTAGGTATGGTAATTATTGGGGTAGCTTACTGTGCATAATGTACAAAGTTTTTTCTTAACTGCTGCTAAACCGATTGCTCTTAGATGTGCAAGAAATTGTGGAAGATTACTAGTGTGGGTTCAAGAAAGATCAACTTGTGTTCAGACATTTTCAGTGAGGTTATTGCTAGAAAATAAATAGAAAGTTGCAAAAGATGTACACCATGTTTTATATAGACTTCATCAAGCTCATAATAATATTAGATGATAGTCACAGTGCTCAATCATGGTGGGGTTTGGAATTGAAGAGTCAAGGTGTTATATGAGAATTGAGGTAATGCTATCAGACCTGATGGGAATCAGTAATGGTCTCAAACAAGGGGAGTGGAGTCACTGATGCTTTTCAGCTTGATGGTTGAGAAGGTTTTAAGAGCTGCTGAAGAAGAAAAAAAAGGTCTGCATCTAAACAGATTGCACCAGGTATTTGCATATACAGGTGATACCTGCCTAATAGGAGAAGAAATGGAAATGGTAGAAAAGAATAGAGAAATCGTAGTCAAATAAGATGTGTTTGGTGTCAGTGTCAGCAAGACTAAATAGATGATCATATCCATAAATAGATCTCAAGATCACAGGAAGGTAAGGATAGGGAATGAAAATGGGGAGAAGGTAGAGAAATTTAAATATTTAGGAACAGTAATAACTAGGGACAATCAAATAATTGAAGAAATCAAGGCAAAAACAATGCAAATATGTGACTTTTGAGCTTGGATAAAACAATCACATCAAGGAAAATGTCAGGGAACCTTAAAATCCAGCTTTTTAAAACAATTGTTCAACCTAGTTTTTTTAATACAAGTGGGAATTCTAGAGGCTAACAAAGGCAATTGGAAACAGGCTGCCAGTATTTGAAAACAAAGTGCTAAGGAAAATATTTGATACAGTACAAGAAAATGGAATATGGAGAGGAGAAGATATAATCAAGAGCTTGTGGACCTTTACAAAAGATCTGGTATTCTGAGCAAGATAAAAGCACAGAAAATGAAGCGTGCAAGGACTGAAGAGAGAAGGCATGTGAAGGAGATTTTGGAAGCTGTGAGGTGAAAGTACTTAGATCTTGAGGTGGATGGAGGCAACAATAAGGCAAAGATGTGGCAAGGTGGAAGGAGATTTCCATCTCCAATCTTGTGCAGGCTTTAGTTAAGGTGGTTATAGGCCCATGAGGCCTGTGAGATCAGAGAGAGAGAGAGAGAGAGAAAGTAGTTTTGCTATGGAATTCTATTAAATACTAAATCTCAAATATAGATATATATTTTGGTTTTAAGTTCAGTTTTCAAGTCAGTGAAATGTATTCAATGAATATAGGGGCATTTGAATTAAACACAGTGTCAGGAAGTTTTATTTTATGAATTTTTATAAAACATTTTACATATGACTGTCTAATTGCAGGTGAAAAAAATTTTTTTTTTGTAATTTCCCCCACTTCTTCCCCAGCTGTTACAACATCTAAATGGGAATTATTTGACCAGCATGAAGAATCAGAAGAGGAAGAAAATCAAATGTGAGTGTATGTGTGTGTATATATATGTGTGTGTGTGT